TATCTGCTTACTCTTAGTGGATTGTTCTACGTTTTCGTTGCTTTCATTCTTATATATTCATATTTATATATGTTAACTCCCTCAAGTGAACACGTTTGAGCACTTTTAATTGCATTTGTATTCTGAGAATTGCTTTCCTGACATTTCTTCACGCTTATCTCAGGCACTCATATGTCAAAGGCAAAGTGATAATAGGATTTTTATTCCATTTTGAATGTAAAAATCAACATTCATTCATGAATATTTGCGTGTGAATATGAAGCGCATAAGATTTGCATAATAAATAAAACGCGTATCAGCAGTGTTCAGGGCCTGAAAGTATGCTAAGAAATATTAACCACAATAAAGGACTGTATTGAAGAAACAACCCTACTATATTCGTGTAAAGAAAGAAATGATGGGCAAACTTATTCGCAGAAAGACATAACAAAAGGGAGGTGAATTTGAAAAGATTGAGCTACGAATTGATAAAACCGGAACAGTAGTTTACCACTGTAGACAGCAATGCAGTTCATTAATTAAATTTGTTATGACTGAGAACAAAGAGTGAATGCTAAATAGAACTAAGTAACTAAGTTTGCACTCAGTCAACGGATTAATTAAAAAATCAGCAAAAAAATGTGGTTGAAATCAATTGTGGGTAAATTGAAGTTATCAAAGCATCTGGGCTTGTAATTTTTGTACAAGTAAAACTAAATAAAATTAAAAATAAATAAAATATGAAAAATAAAATAAAATAAATTAAAAAAGAAAATAAAAAAATTATGTAAAATAAAAAAATAATACTAAATAAAATTAAAGAAAAATAAATTCAATTAATTCAAATAACATAAAATACAATTGAATAAAATAAAAGAAATATTAGAAAAAATAAAGAATAAAATAAAAATAAAATTGAAACAAAATAAAATGAAATAAAACACAATAAAATAAAAAATAAAATAATTTAAAATACAGTAAATTAAAATAAGAAAAGTAAAATAAAACACAATAAAGTAAAATAAATTGACATAAAATATTATTATATAAAACAAAATAAAATAATGCAAAATAAAATAAAACAAAAGAAAAAAGTAAACTAAAATGTAAATTTGAATAAGAAATAAAATAAAAGCAAAATAATTATAATTAATTTTAAATAAGTCAATCTAAATGAAATTCAATAAAACCAAATTATATTAAATTTAAAACAAATTAAAATAAATCAAAAAAAAAAAAAAATAAAANAAAGAAAATAAAATAAAATAAAATAAAAAAATAAGATAAATAAAATGAAATAAAAAAAAAATCCAATTGGAATTCAAATTATGTTAAATTTAATAAAATAAAATAAATTAAATAGAGTAAATTATGTAAAATTAATTTTTTTAAGCAAGATAAAATTCATTGATTTTAACTGATAAAAAGTTTTCTCGAAACTTTTCTCTATTCTTCTTACTTGTGAGTTAATTCGATGAATACTTAGTTTAAAAGGATTAATTTATAATTAATTAAAACGAAAAGTACTCAATTAATAATTGTAATAAGTTACAGAAAAAAAATGCTTTTAGGTTCCTGATTTTCGCGCGAAAGCTTTTCTTATTTTTTCACATTTCGCTGAATTATTTAGTAACTTTCTACGTTTTACTACAACAGCACACACTGGCAAGTTATGCTGAAAACTTCAAACTTTCCAACCACTCAACGCGAATGTCGCTAGCTGAACTTCGTTCCGGCACTTGCACACAGCTCACGTACGCACGCCTATGCAGTGCTGCCTACTTTCAGGCGCTCGACATACAAGTAGTAGTAACAGTATGTAATTACTGCTGCTGCAACTTTGGAATTGCAATTACTTTGCGCTTCGACGAGAGACTAGCGCATCAAGAAACAGTTTTTTTTCCAGCTAAGTGCAGTTTACCGCACACACATACATATGCCCGCAAATTTGTACTATGTACGTGGCATAACACAAAACGCGATCACTACAGCTTATGTACAATATTATATGTAAGAATATGTATGAATGTATACATATGTATAATTCGTAGTATTCGTATTCTTGCAACTTTTTCTCACAATTTTCAACATTCTCCAACAGATAACTATTGGTTGTTGTTGTAAGCACGCGTGCTACTTACTTATTTTTCATACATATAATTTTTCACTAAATAATTGAGTTTTAATTGCTCTAGATAGTTTGTATGGTGCAGTTACATGCATATAAGCCTGTATGTGTGCATGAAGTGTGTCTGTGCGACCGTCTGTCTGTCTATGTGTCTGTTTGTGCTCATTAGTCGCTCGTTTGGCCTATTTTCTCAACACGCCTGATTGCTGCTATACATTTTTTTTCTAACATATTCACGTGAGTTTGCTTATGTGTGCAATGAATCATCCAAATTTTCCTTTATAACAGTCACGATTTTACTGTAACTGCAGCCGCAAAATTTTTGACAGCAATTATTTGAAGTTTATGAGCAATTACGCTTACTCACATTCTTGGTAATTGGTGAATTTGATTATTTGTACCACTCGAGGAATTTTGGGAATTAGAAATAATGACTTGAAGTTCTTAAGAAAATTTATATGTTTTTTTGAGCATTAAAAATATCAACGTTTTAAAAGGATTTAAGGAGGAAATTTTTATTTAATATTTTCTGGTCTTGAATTTCATTAGAATTGAATTTAATTTAAAAAAATCTTATTATTTAATATTTGGCTGAGTTCAGGTCATCAGCTTCAGCTTAAATGGTCTGAAACGTCCTATGAATCTTATGTGAAGAGGTGAATAGATACTCCACGAAATAAGCGCAGACAACCCCATGGAACTGCCTCACGAGATTATCACTCATGACAAAGGTGACGTGAGGACAATACATGAGCCAGCACCCATCAGGATTGAGACCTGCAAGATCCTTATGGTTGAATTATGTTGCCTTTAAGCCGGTGAGAGTGATATTCTGCCACCTTAGTAAGCAGGGGTGACACCTGGAGGAAATGTGGCTGACAGGCTAATATCCGAATTGCCAACGCCACGTTAAAACCCTGGCAGGTCTTCAAGTATGTTCAATGCGCATCACCATAAAGTTGGCTGTACAGGGTCAATGGAGAATGAGGATCACCAACTCCATCAGTAAGCGTGCATCAGACATGGTTGCCCGACTCGGCATTATGGTACTTCACATCAGACTGGTGCACGGCAAAGTTCGTGCAGCTGGGAAGAACGTGCTTTCACTTGAGGCGTGTCTACACAAGAAATATGTGGAGATGAGATGCAACAACGGATGCGAAAAGAAAGAACTGAAACGAGCTGTGGAAGTCAGCAAAAAGAAAAAATGGGAAGAGCTAATAGGACCTAGATATAAGGCCGTTATGACAAACTTAGGAGCCATAGTAGCACCCTTCACCAACTGAACGCACATAAAATGAACCCAAGTGTGAGTGTTTTCTTTCAAACACACGACGGAAAAACGAACCCTTGGACATTAGGATATAACAACAATCGCAAGCTCGTTGGCAGCAGGCACACCATGGCAGATTAACGGCCAGCATTATTGAAAACAAAAGAATGCAGATGTTATCCGGGCATGGATATTTTAGGAAATATCTTCATAAAATTAGGAAGGCCAAAGAGCTAACTTGTATGTATATATAACGAAGCCGAAAAACAAACGAGTTCGGCAGAGATAACACTTTAAGATAAGAATTCTACTACATAAGCTTTAACAAACTCGGATTATCTTCTCTTCTATAAAATATCTTCTTCTATCTCTTATTACTTTTTACTATGTTTTTTTCGGAAATATGGCAATTGAAAATTGATATTCTTTGAGTATAAATCCTATCTAAACCTTCTAAGTTTCCCGCCATGAATATTTTCTTTTAATTTGCGCTAATCTTAAATTTTTTTCAATTTAATTTTTATTTTTATTTCTATTTTTTATAATTTATTTTGGGAAATTTTTTATTTCATTTTTTTTATTATCTTCTTTTATTTATTTTTTTTTAATTTATTTATTTTTTTCATAAAAACATTTAATATAGATAAATTCTCTGCTTATTTCCCAGAGCTTAAATATTTCTGCCCGAAAGTATGCAACATTTCTATAATTGAAGTTTAAGAAAAGATATTTTTTTCTACGAAACTATTTATTTATATATATGTATTCATATAATGCTGGGCTACATGTTAAGAAAAAAATGAGTTAGAAAGAAAAACTATCTTAAACTTTTAAGATGACACTGTTATAATGTGAAATTTTAAACTTAAACATATCAATAGCATTAAAAAGTTAATATTTAAATTCATGCTGTATTTGCTGCGGTGCAAATTGAACTGAAAAAAAAAAACAAAAATATTATCAAAAAAAAACTTCACATTTAAAAAGTGTTTTATATTGATAAAATTGTGAAAATCTTACGAAGAGTAAAAAAAGAAACGAATAAAATTTTTTTCAATTTTCAACTAAAACTTACATATTTTTTGCTAAGTGAAACTACGAGTAGTGCAAGCATTCATGCACATTTGTGCTGAAATTATTTATCTGCTTAAAATGCTAGCAAAATTACCAAACAAATCAAGGATAAAACAAATAATAAAAACACCAAATGAAAAAGTTCTCATTGCTACAAACAAAAAACATTTAATAATCTAACAAAACGATAAGCAGTGTTTATACTGTTAGTTTTCATATTTTTTTTCCAACATTTAATTTGTTAATCATAGACGCGAATTGGCAAAAATATTGCTGTGTTAGTATCGAAGTTACTGTGTTTTTGTTTTTGTTATTATTTTATTTTTTTTAAAAAATTTGTCAAAAGAATTTAATAATTTAAATATTTAAATTTTGTTATTCTCAATTTTGTTTGCTTGTTTTTCTTTTGTTTTTTTTTTTTTTGTTTTTGATTTCATTCAAATTTTTAAATTTTTAAATTTTCAATTTTTGAAATTTTTTTTGCAAAAAAACTTCCCAACTACTTACTGCTGGCATAAGCTGATCTGTACTTCGGACGCGAGTCACCTTATTTTTCGTAACCAGCCGCTTCACGAAGCGCTCCACTTGCACATTCCACTTCATGAAGGTCACGTACGCTATATAAATGCCAAACAGGATTAGCGCTTCCCACCAATATATGAAATTATCACGAAAAAAGTAGATTAGCACCATCAAACTCAGACTGTAGAAGGTGCAATCTCGAAATAGTGGCCACCACGTGAGCTCTAATATAGTTTTGGAAAATAGCGCACACATGCCGATCACGAAGAGAATGTTGAAGACAGCCGAACCGACAATTGTACCAATGCCAACATCATCGAATGAGATGAATACGCCAATGACACTGGTGAAGAGTTCTGGCGCACTACCTCCGGCTGCCATAAATGTAGCTCCGGCTACATCGTCCGTGATGTCCAGTTTTTCGATGATCACGTCCAGGGAAGGCACAAAGAATTCGTCACAAACAATGGCGAGCGCTACAAACATGTAAATAACGCCAATGATGTGACATATGACAGCGCCATTTTCTAACTGTTCTTTGGTGAACAGATCTTTTGGGAAGAGCGGCGCTTTTGTCACGTTTGGATGGCCGGTTTCTGCAAGAATAAAAGAGAGAAAAACAAATTATTAAAATTTATTGAATTTTTGGATAATTTAATTGTACGAATATTATTTAAACAATTGTATAAATTTTTTTCTACTAAATATATGTATGCACATATGTATTTAGAATTAAAAAATAAATAAATAAATAACATTAATTTAAACACAGTTGGAGCAAAAGGAATATATAAGGAAATCCATTATTTTTTCAACAGATTTCATTCTAAAGTCCGATCGATTTCCGCTGTTGGCGTTAGAAAGATGCCGCTTTGTATTAAGAAAGATATCCTGACAGTTTTGTGATTGGTTGATTCAGTATTGTGTGAGCGTGCGTCAAAGAGGGCACTAGCAAAGAGGAAACACTATATTTTACAGTTTTTCCTCGATACATGCTATGCGGCCGAAAATGAGATTAGCATTTTCGGTTCTAATACTGTTACAGTCAATCATGCATAATTTCGGTTTAACTTGTAATTTTGATGAAAAAGATGTTTCGCTGAGTGGAAGACCAATTGTTGAAAATGTCGATAAAATCATAGACATTTTCGAGCCCGACCGGCATGTAAACACTGCTTCGCTTGTCCAAGGGTTAAAGATTGCACAAAAACCCTTGAATAAGACTGGATACGAAAATAAAAAATTAAATCCTTCAATTTCATGCAAAAATAATGGTTTACTTCTTACTACACCTAATGGTGTTCTATATCTTATGCCTAAAAATATGCCGTAAATGCCTAGTTTTCAAAATTTAAGTACAACAACAAAGTTTAATAAAGTTTTCAAGCAGCCGCTGAGCATAAATGAGGCATATTCTAAGGCGTGGAACATTAAATAACAAAGGAGATATTTTTGCAACCTCTTCACTGGAGAAACCAAACTTTGGGCCCCAATGAAATTATTGTTTAAATCGATGACCGGATCGAAAATTCATTCGACAACAGTTCCTCGTTCGAACAACTTCGGTAATCAAAATGAAGCGACATGCGGTCTGCGCCAAACTCCATGGAAGATATACAGCGGATTATCGTGAAGGCTAAAAACCTCCGAAACCAACGCCAATGAAGGAATAACCATGTTGATGCCGGAATATCTAGCACCAACGGAAGCAGACTATCTCGCCAAAGCCCTCAATTTGTATCTGAACACCCTAATAGTTCCCGATATGTAGTTATCTGCTAGGGAAAGCCAGCCAACAATATGATTCGTTATCATAACTCCTTTTCCCAGTAGCGAAGACATTTGAGGCACCACCACAGCACTACAAGCACACTTAACGTCATAAGCACTTAGATAGTCAATGGACTTAACTAAAACTGAGCCTGTGCGCTAATATCGGACCATAATAAATACTGAAAATTGGTTGAAGAAGTGGACCGTGGGCTAACTGAGAGAGCTTTGAGTTCAAACAAACTTTGTAAGGTAAGATCAAACGAGGGGTTCTGCAGGATGAGGTCCTCTCTCCGCTTCTGTTTAGTATTTATATTTTCGGAGGAAGCTCGCCTCCACAAGGGCCGTTTATGGTTTTTGACTGTGATAAGGTTGTGGCCGCATTAGTCGAGTTGTTGATATTGTGTGCTAATATTTAGATGGCCAGGTTACGAGCCAGTCAACCATCCCACAGAGGATCTGCTACGCATTAATTTGACTTCTTTTATATTTTTAGTTAAACTAAAGAGAGACAATAGTGTGAAGTAAAGTGCTCGTACAATATATAATATATATCTATACATATATACATATATATATATATATACATATATATTTATACATATATACTCGTCTTGTTGACGAGACGCTCGTGCCAAAATCACTTGTTTTTTTTCTGTCAAATATCACAGTCCATAATATGGCTTTCTCACCAAATTTGTACAAGTAAAAGGAAAATAAAAAAAATGGTCAGCCATATTTGTGACGATGATAATGAACTCGTTTCTATATAAGGCAGCTGGCACCACCCACACGTCGGAAAGCACAACCGGCTACGGAATGGATTAACATATAATTGTTTGCGATAGTAAACTAATGTCAAATTGAATAAATGTATTTTTTTTTAATTTGTTTATTCATTATACGTTGCGCGAGTAAACAGTTTACCCCTCCGCGAGATGGCTCAGTCGTGTAGAAACCCGTAGATAACTCCAAATGGATAATCTGGTATGCCCAGGTCGCTGTGTGGCAGAAAAAAATTTATATAAAAAATGGTGGGGCTAATAAAAGTGACTCTGGACTATAAATGGATCACAAGATGTCAACAAAGTCTGTGGCAATACAATACCAGCGTACCCATCCACGCCTAGTACTATCCACACTGTACGTTTTCGACCGAAGTGAGGGAGCAGTCAGTCGAACGTGTGTATAGATCAATCATGAGGTCCTTAAGGAGATACAAACATCATTAAGGCACTTATTAAGTGCAGCTGGCCACCTAATTCCACCTTTACTGCCAACGCGATCGAAGCGCTTATTCCAGATACCTTGGAGCGCAGAGTAGCTGAATTTTGTTCACCAGTCTACTAATTCTTTTTCTTGTGACCTTGGTTTCGATCTGCGCGATTCCCATTTCAGCGTGGTAGAAAAATGTATATTTCCGATTCATCGGCCAGTTGCTTATCATGTTGGTAAAAGGGTCGGAAGGTCTCTGTTTTCTCTGCCCTAGCTGACGTCGGATAGGATCGCCTCGATTCCGCTTCAGCTGATCCATTTTTGTTTTCACACTGTTGAGTTGCTCATTACAACTCACTTATTGAATCTCACCATGGGCCATGGACAAGCATGGATTGACACAAAAACGACCAAGGAGTGTATCTGGGAGTATTAAATCTGTAAACCGGTCAGATGGGAATAGGTTAATTTCCTTCTCGTAGAGGCCATGCTTAAAATCCTTCACAAAAATGACTAAATGAATGCCTCGAAGAGAGTCAACATTAGGATCTGCACTTATTCACTTATTTACACCCGAGTTTCGAAGAGTAAAAATTCTGTGAGGTGAACATACCTAGTAGGTATTACCTACCCACAATCTATGCTTATACTAAAATCTTACTAATTTCCCAAACTGTCGGTGATCTCTTTCCCGTAAAAAGAACTTTAATTATATCTTGCTTTTTACTGGACCAACAAATAGGTATATATTAGAAAGACATAGTTCTGGGGAAAAATATGAAAGTAAAAATCAAATACTTAAAAAATCCGTTCAATTTATAAGAAAATTTCCTTAAAATAATACAATCTGCAAGCCACAGAAGCCACATCATACACATTTGTATATAAATATATTTGTACATAAAGTGCACAGAAATAATGTTAATATAAATAACCGCATGTGAAGTGCGAAAGTGTGATACACTCTTTGGCATAACAATGATTGAAAGTAAACGGAAATCTTAAGACTTATCAGTGATATATATAGGTGTAGTGTATACGTGTACTAGGGCGGTTGTTCAAAAAAAAATATTTTAATATTTTTTTTCAAAATAAAAAATGTACGAAAATTAAAGAATATACTAAATATACTGGTCACCTAAAAATTTGATTTTGAAAATTAAAAAAAAAAAAATTGGAGATAATTTTTTAATGATTTTGCTTTTATCGAAACGCTTCAACTTGGCCTTACAGTAGCCTATTCAATTATATTTGTCGTTTTAATTTTTTAACACATTTTCTGTTGCTTGACGCTCACCTACTGCGGTGGGGACTTCACTTTCTGGATGGTTAGCGTAGCAATTAAGCCTAACGACTCGACAGAAAGGTAGCTTTAGGGGCTCTATCGCACCTACGAGGTGACCAGTTAACAAAAGTTTTCAATTTGGCAATTTAACAACTTGCAATTTTCTTCCACATACGGCTGAAGGAAGTGTTCTATATTTCCAAATTTGTTTAAATCGAGCCATGAACCGTAAAAAAAGGATTCAAAGTAAAAATAACGATATATACGTAAAAGTTCGCCTTCCGAATAGGTCAGCCTTTGGACCACTTTTTCATTGAGAGGAGTAAAAACCACCTTTTTACGAAAACTTAAGTGCAAACTTAATTACTTTATAAACCGCAAAACCAGGTACTGATAATTTGACGATTCGGGAAAGTCATTGAAGTTGTTTAATGAGTTTTATTTTTCTCTTAAATTTAATTCTTTTGAAAACATTAAAAATATTTTATATCGCAACAAATATTTTAAACAATTCTTCGTAAATCTTAAAACAAAATTTAAAATTGGTTTTCATTAAAAATTCACTAAAATCGTTTAATTGTCATATAAATATATGTACGTATGTAAAATTATTCACAGCTTAAATGTTTAATATGTGAGTCCACACAATAATTCACTAAGTTCCCCCGTCTCGCTTATACAAGTACATACAAATAAGTCACAACTCAAAGTGTGTGACTCAATTTAAAATGTATGTCTTGAACGACTTCATTTGTTTCGTACATTGAAAAGGCGTTAACAATGTGATTGATGTGCAATTGAGGTGCAATTGTCAATGACAAGAACACACACATATATGCATATATACGTTTCATACATATGAATTGCATACAGAGTTAAGTGTGTTTTCTCTATTGCTGTAAAATAACATAAATTCAATTTGTAGAGAAGACGTTGAATTGAATTTATTACTAGAAGAAATTAGAAAATGATATTGTGTGACTACAAACGGAACATGTACACATACATACACGTGTATGTATATAAATAATGAAAAATCAAAGATACTAGAAGAGGTGTGAGAAGCTCAGTAGCAGGGTATATTACTAACCATGATACAATAATTTAAAGTTAGCTTCAATCTCTCTTCACAGTTGGCTTCATTGCTAACTGACATTAAACTTGTTTCAGTGTTTTCATGCTGCCTTCATCTCTTAAAAAAATCTACCATTTTTATGTAAAAAATATGTGGAGAATTTTTGTATATTTTTTAAATGTTCAAATATATTAAAAAATCACCTATTTTCCAACTTCTGATAGTGGACTTCATCGAGTGTATGGCTTTATGTATTACAAC